AAAGAGTGTATTAGCTTTTTTAAATGTGCAAAGAATCTTTTATGCTGCCTTTTCATTTTAGTGATAGCAGGTATTTTGAGAGTTGTCTGTTTACTTTTTACTTCATTGCTATTGCTTTTAACTTTCATGAGCTGTTACTCTGCGAATGACTGCCAGCCTAAGTATTCAGCAGCTCACTACTTTCATTTGTGATTTAGTTTCTCTGTATACTGTATACATCTCTTAGAAAGAGTGGAATAGGTACACTTGTGTACCAATGACTTTATAATTAAAGGTTAAACAACAGTGAGGCTAAATTCTGAAAATTAAGACATCTGATTTCTTACAAAGCGAAATCCTAGACTGCAGAGATTAATAGCATTTGCTGTGGATATGACTGGTGTGAAGATCACATTCAAAATGGTCCCATAGATTTGTTGGTAAATGCTTAGTTTTATATCTAAAGATCACTTGAAAATACTCCTAGAAATACCTTTTAAGGTAGTGGTTAAAAGGAGCATAAATATACAGTAAATAGATTGTATTTCAAAATCACAGAATCCCAGAACGTTAGGGATTGGAAGGGACCTCAAAAGATCATCCAGTCCAATCCCCCTGCCGGAGCAGGGATTTAATTTAAATTTAAGAGAGTTTTCTTTTTCCCTTTTCATCTTCGTTTTTTTTACAGGAAAACAAAACAGTTGAGCCAGTCTGGCCTCTTTCAGGTCATGCTTATGGAATAGAAATAGTTTACTAAAATATATCAGTTGTACATGTAGCTTTCTCTGAAGCTCTAGGAATAGCATTAGAAATGCTTCTGGGTTTTGTACCGTTTAAATCAAAGCTGACTATACCAAAGCAAACCCTCCATGCAAAGGTATTCAGGTTGCCTACAACACTTCCTGATGTTTCTTGGTCGAGTAATCTAGATCTGATTTAAATCTTTAAGTGTGATAGTTTTCACTGTGAAGAAGCTGCAGCTGAGACCATGCGTTGGCTTCATGTGTGCCTTGGCTCATCAGCTTCTGTTGTAACTTATTCTTGGTTTTCTCACCAATTTACCTAAGTTTTGCATAAGCAGATCGTTATTGTCATCAATTTGTAGCCAGTTTTAGGTTTTCCTCCAGTAAGATAGCGTATTTGATAACTAAAAGTTGTTTATGACTAAAATATGAAAGAAGAGATGTTAACCGTGAGGGTTTTCTAATTGCAAGCATTTCAGATGAGAGATTTTATTTTTGTACAGTCTGTCTCCAGCTTTATATTCGGCAGCTTTACGGTTGTCTCGCACTTTAGGATGCAGAGCCAGCCTTGTGGCTGATGGGGATGGAGTGGCCCCATCTCAGGGAGCCTGGGGGCTTATCAGCTCAGTGCAGGCTCTTCCAGATGCTCTCGCTGCTGAACAGGGAAAGGGAAGAGAAGAGTGTCTTTATTTCAATTACTTGACTTACTAATTTGTAACTTAGCTGATGCCATGGAAGATACTCTCATATTCTGCAGCCCTGCTGCTCATGAGCTTCAGCTTGTCCATCTGACTTGTAAATGTGATTTTAAAAACATGGACAGTCCCTCTTTACCTAGCAGTGCAATGTTATTTGTCTGTTATCAGACATTTTACTCTTCAGAATCTTTATCATTGGCACAAGATGGCAAGGTCTGCTTCCTTGAGGTTCCTGGGATAAAGCTGATGCCAGTTTTCAGTTATTGTGACTCTAAAAGGTGCAAAACCCCCATAGCTTTGTAATTTGGGGTGCCTGTATATCTTGAATTTTGGACTTCAAAAGGGAGTTTCCCATTGAATTAATCTTGGGTATTAGTAATTTTTTCCCTAAATCTTCATTGGATATTTGGCAAGATGAGTCTTATAAATATATTAGTAGGTGATGTACAAACATACATAGATAGATATACATATCTATATCTATCTGTGTGTGTGTGTGTATATATATATATATAGAGTCAAAGAATGCACCATAATAAACACTCTTGTGTACAGTAGTAAAATGTTTCACCTTTATATGGTGTCTTTCACAAATCCATGTGGAATTGTACAGGCTTGCAGCTGTATTAATGGAACTTTTGTAGCTGTAAGATAGTGAAAATCCTCATGTAGTTGTCTGTAGCTGTTCATATTTGTGTAGATCAGGATCTAAATTTATCTCATCATCCAGTATTGCACCTTGATTGCAATTAACATCACACCTCAGTAAATAAAAACTTGGTTGTGGAGGGCACACTTGAAAGTGATAGCACGTAGCAACACAGCAGCGTAAGTTGCGTTAGATGGCTAAAATGAGTATTTTCCTCAAGCCTACTGGCTTGTCAAAATGTATCAGTTCAGGCAAGAGAAGGATTAACAGTATGAAAAGTTTCCCTCGTTCTGGCATGTTCTGGTTATGCAGATCTGTGAGGCTTGATAAAATACTTGAGCTGTTCTTTCTGTCTGATCCCATAGAGATAGATCTTCTCTTGATGACTGAAATGTCATGATTGTTTTCCCTGTTTCTGCTATCTAGCTGAGGGGTTTAAATACTCTCCCTGTAGCTATTACAGCCATCTGGGCTTGCTCTTTTCTTTTGCAATTAAAGCAAGCCTGAAGTTCTTCTGAGTTTTTCAGCTTTGAATATGGAGAACTCCTATAGTAGCATCCAGAGACTTCCATCAGTGCTTTGTGCAGCAGAGCTTTGAGAGGATCTGAAGATACTGTTTGTCCTACATTGTCTATTTATACTTGGTTGACCTAAAATAGCTAGGAAAAAGGTTGTTCATGCCTGGCTAGAAAATATCCACACCCTGTTACAGTGGACAGTAGCAATTTCTTTGAGACGTTATTTCAGAAACACAGTACTTATTCATTTTCACCCTGTACTGTTTTCAAGTTAACAGTCAACTCCTCCAAACGTGTCTGGTAACCACAATGTTTGCCTTAAACCGGAGTTCCTTGCAGGTCTTCTCAGCTGACAAAGTCGGGCTTTATAAAAACTGCTAAAATTAGCCAGCCCTTCCCTGCTGATCTCATAATATTGGAATAGACTCTCATAAATGGTGTGTTTCAGTGTAAATTGAATAGAGCACACTTTGTTGAGATCATTGGATGTGGTACTTTCAGAAACTGCACCTTTAGTTGCTGCTTGAATTTCCTTTAGATTGCTGTCACCAGTCAAGCAATAGGATGGGAAAGCATCCAGTGCAGAATGCAGGAGGCTTTAAAAAGTCCTTCTGCCGTAAGCCTGTGCTCTGTTGTGAGGAACTAGCACTAGTAAATATTTGCTGGAGACTTAAACAGTGTGTGCAGTACTTCACCAGGTCTGGTTCAGTTGAGTATTTTTAATAAATGTTTTTTCTTTTAAATAAAGAGATGTTTTTATTTGTCAAATTTCTTAGAGTTGTACCCCACAGATCAATATTTGTGTTTCTTCTGAAACGTGGGGGAACTCTGGCAAGCAAATAGCAGAAAATCCCAGTTTTGAAACACACAGTCTGTAGATTGGATACCAAATCTTCCCGGTTTTGTTTATATGAACCAGCTGCCTTTTGCAAGTACATACCGAGGGCAAAGTCAAGTCAGCATCTAGAAATCAGTGTTAAAGGAAGTATTCTAGTAGTTAAGACATCGCAATTAAAGCACAGAAACTCACAGAGGTTGAGGTTCAGGCAGCACATAGTGAAGGAATACTTGCACTTTGCAATATTACTAGGAATAATTTTTAAAAATACAGATTCCTAAGATAGGTGGAATTCTATTGATTAATGATAATTCCTTTTTATGGAATTTTATTGATCTTACCTTTGACCTTTTTCGAATCTCTGATCCGAAAAGTTTGGAAACATGAACGTTTCGGTCAGGTTTTGGGTCTGGCAGTGCAGGGTCTCCCGGCTGTTGTCTGCAGTGCTGCTTTGTCCCTCAGAATGGGAGCAGCCCCTATGTTTGTGCTAGGATGTAAGTCATATTGTATATTCAGGGGCTGTCAAATCTCACTTTTTGCTCGATCTAACAACTTCAGTTGAAGCTTGTGGCCATGGTAGATGCACACTTGCACATTTACCACGTAGGTGAAGAGGCACCTAGCAGCTGCCTGCATTGCTCTCTACATTTCTGCTGTCTTTGAAGCATGTTCATGCTCACCCTCTCCTTCCAAGTAATTTTAAATTCTGGGTATTTTCCTCAGATTGGAGCTGTGGTGATGTTGCAAGAAAGTTTCCTATAAAGATTGGAATGCTTCTGTATCACAAATAGCTGGAATTAATAATAGTAATGCAAATACAGTCCTTTTTAAGATCTACGATCTTACATTAAACCACTTAGTTTAAACTTAAGCTACCACCAAATCACCTCTTTCTCTAAGTTCTGTTCCTTTAGGTGTGGAATCATTTTAGAAACCAGGTACTGTAAAATGATTGGGGGGTAGTGGTGATGGGGTGTTTTTTGTTGCTTTTATAAATACAGAAGTCAAACTTTAACTGATACGTGGACATCTTGCACAAGTGCTGTGTGATCCTTCTACAAGAAGTCATTACATGTAACTTGGTGATTAGTGGGACTCTGCATTTGCATTCTCCTAACAGTATGCTGGCGGACTACCTGAATACATATATGTATACTTTGCGTTTTGGTTTTGTTTTTCTTATGGCAGCCTTGAACTTCTAACAGCTCGTGCTTTCCTTTACAGGGCACAAAACTATGGATAATAATGGAATACTTGGGTGGAGGGTCAGCTTTGGATCTCGTAAGTATAAGATTTTTTTGCATTATAAGTTCTAGTAAACCTTATTTGTTTGTGCTTTCATATCTGTCTATAAGATCTAGTCCCTGGACATGGCTGATATTATATCACTGCTGCATTGTAATGCTCCAGAAAGTGTGAATTTGAATGGTAATTCTGTTATATTGATTTTTTTGTTTGTTTTCACTGTTTGTCTCTAAGCATTAGGAAGTGCCCATTTGTTCTCGGTCAAATGTAAGGCAATTTTTTTTTTTTTAGTATGATGAAGAGCACTGTTCTTGCCCTGTGTGGTGGGCTTTTGGGTTTTGATTTGTCTGTCCATCCCCTGACCCCTCCCCCCAGTGGAGTATTCATTACACTTAAATAAAACACGTTTCCTGTGGGACTGGGTGTCAGGAATGAACCAACTGTGTGCCCAGAGTACAGTTAATTTTAACTGGTTAGAAGGTGTTGGGTTTTCCATTTTCAGGTATTTTCAGTTAAGCGTGAAAGCGCCTTTTACTTCGGATAATGTGGCATTCATGAAGGATGTAGCTTAGTGAGCACCGGAGCACAGTCCACTCTATGTGGATGTGGTTTCCCCACACTTTCAGTACAGCTCTGAGTCAGCTGTAAAGCTGGGAGACCCACCCTTTCCTGTAAGATAACATAGCTCAGTCTTTGTTTCTGTGATGCTGAAGGAAAAATACTATGTCTTCAGTATTACAGAATGGTGTTAATTACAGCATACTCGCTAACAGTGATCTAGTCTGAAAGAGTTGAAGTACGTGCCTAACTTCACAAATCTGTGTGAACTTCTTTATAAAATAACATCAACTCAGCTACAGGAATGCAAAAGCATAGTAATGATGTGTAGTGTGTAGTAGTTTGTAGCTCTGGAACGTGGTCTTTTTGAGAAAAGGAGCTGCAGGGTACTTACTCTGACACTTTTTCTGTAATTCATAGTCTTCTATGGAGTGTCAGAGTTTTTGAATTAGCTCTTAGTTGAAACCACTGAACCTTTAGAAGAATAAAAACTTAAGTTTAGCCTCACTCTGCCATACCATAATTTCATGGTGTTCTCTGTTTCAGTGTTGTGTTGTTGGTAGGTTTTTTTCATAGCAGAATCACCCACCTTAACTGCTTCTGTTTTATTTACATAGCTTTCCAATGTGCAAAGTTTACACCTGCTCCATATTAACAGCTTTACAGTATTGCATTATGTTCTTGATGCAAAAGCAAACACGGAATCAAAAATGATGGAACAAGGAGAAAAGTGCATTATTAAATTTAAAAACCACAGTCAATAGACTAATTTATTTTGAAATAACCTGAGTTTCTTAATTCACGTAATCTAAAATAGAAAATTCAGTCCGCTGTGTTTGCTGTCTCTAGGAATCTATAACTTTGTGGAAAGTTAGTTCCAGCTTTTCATGTGCATTGCGTGCAGTATCCGTTAGAAAAGTAACAGCATTTTCAGCGCAGTACCAGTAAAGGAGGTGTGAAGATGACCGCTCCAATGGCACCTGTTTTGCTAGAATGTTGACGTGCTTCATTGAATATTTTATGAATTCTGTTAGTAGAATGAAAATCTGTAAGTTTAAGTTTAGGATTAAATTAAATCAATAGCAAGGCAAGAATTAGATACAAGACTAAAATTATTTTACTAATAATTCTTTTCTCTAAAGCTACGTGCTGGCCCATTTGATGAGTTCCAGATTGCTACCATGCTAAAGGAAATCTTGAAAGGTCTTGACTACCTACACTCAGAGAAGAAAATTCACAGGGATATAAAAGGTGCATAACAATTTAAATGTTACTCTGTTAAAGTCTTTAAAAATAAGCGTGGTGTTCTAATTCGGATGTTATTTCCCCTTGGCAGCTGCCAATGTCTTATTATCAGAACAAGGTGATGTTAAGCTGGCTGATTTTGGAGTTGCTGGGCAGCTGACAGACACACAAATTAAGAGGAATACCTTTGTTGGAACTCCGTTTTGGATGGCCCCTGAAGTTATTCAGCAGTCGGCATATGATTCAAAAGTAAGCATGACAATAGAATACCTTTTCTTTCTCTCTGCAGATCCAACAGAAATTACTTTGGTTTTTGTATTTTTAGCTCTATCAGTATGGAGAAAAAGAAGTAGATTTCAAATGACAGGGCTTCAAATAATGAAAGTACAATTAAATTGTTTTTATACAGTACTTGTGTGTCACTGTACTCGCATACAAGACCCATGCAAACTCACCAAGTAAGTTGATGCTTGGAAGTTCAGATTCTTTCCGAAAGACTCCCTGGATGCTTTCAGTGTTGTGAGTTGGCTGGTTGGTTTGTTTTTAATTTCAGCTGAACGTTACACATTTAATTCAAACAGTAAACACATAATTGTACTTGTGATGTGCACATAAAGAAAAGACTTTTGAATATCTGAGATGTCCTGAAGATCTTCACACTCTGGGAGACTTTCCCAGGATCGTTCAGGCTTGAAGGAATTTGTGCACATGTCACAAGGGTTCTTGCTGATGAGGAGGAGTATGTGGTAGTTCTCATGTTCAGGGTTTCAGTGGTGCAACTGTAATGTGCTCCCTAGGGCATTCTGGAAAAGCACTCTGCTCCTCTTTAAAAATGAGTGTTGTCCAGTCACAGTGAGAATAATTCATCTTCTGCTTGCCCTGTGTATAAATCAGCTGTATTACCCCTTCATTTACGTTCTCCCAGCAACCTAATCTTTCACCTTATGTATTTCCTCAATATGTTGCAAGAGCAGTGCCCTCTGCCTTTTATTTTTATGGCAGAAATATATAGCTGGAAAGCACAGAAGATGCAAGCCTTTGGTAGGACAGATGAATGGGTTTGGACGGGATACACTTCAATTTCTAGACTAATACTGATAAATATTTTGGCATCTGGACTGAATTTTAACCTTTCTCTGTTTCCCCCTGCTTCAAAATGACAGAAAATAAACCAAATCCATTTATTTTAATAGCGGCAGAGATTTACAAACCCCATCTCTTATTTCAAAACATTTTGTTCCAATATACAATTGTTGGTTATGTTATTTCAGTAATTAAAAAATGAGCTTGTTTAATTGTTCACTATTAAATACAGATATTTTAGTTCTTGTGAATAGGAAAGGAATATTGGAAAAAATGCAAATTGTAACCCTTGCCCTCTGTGGGCAACTTTGGTTTATGACTTCTCTTCCAAGTGTAGTTAACCATTGCCAGCCACACAGGAGAAACACCACGACCTTAGTAGCTGTTGTATCTCATCTAAAAAGATGCAAGTAATGTATGGGGTAAAATCTCTGTATCGGAGAAGAATTTTTCTGTTTTGTAAGATACTTCGATACAAAGACAGAATTTGCTTATAACGCTTAACTTTAACTGAAATAAATACCACTTCATTATTCTTCAGAAACTCACCTTGGTGTTTCAGGCCTAGCTAGTTGATGAATATAGCTAGAAAACTGTCAACAGAGAGTCTGTTAGGAAAGAAATTAAGTGATCACCTGCTGAATTTGATTCAACTCTGCCTTGTTCCTGTAGAGTGAGATGGCAAACAAGGTTGGATACCTCAGTGCATCTAAACAAGTTCTGAATTAGACATAGGAAATTTGTGGCAGTTTGTAGTTCATAACATGGAGAAAATCAAAGGAAGATTAATGTTTCTGGAGCTTTTTCAGAAGTGTGTGTATTTAGGTGCGCGTTTAACTTGCTGACAGTGTTTCAATGGTGACAGCATGTAACAAAATTGGCGTCGTCGATGTTTGTCGTTGAAGATGGATTAAGTCAGTCGGGTCTTTGGGAATCACAGCCTTTAAGTATTAGAAAGGAATCTTTGTGTGTTACCTACTTGAACCAGAATTAATTCTGTTCTGTAGATGCAGTATATGTGAACATTTTAATTATTAAATGCTAAGTCACGCTAGCCCTTAGTTTTCTACTAAAAGTAACTTTTCCCTTTCTCAGGCTGATATCTGGTCATTGGGAATCACTGCTATTGAACTCGCCAAAGGGGAGCCTCCCAACTCTGATATGCATCCAATGAGAGTTCTGTTTCTCATTCCGAAAAACAATCCTCCAACTTTATTAGGAGAATTCAGTAAACCTTTTAAAGAATTCATTGATGCGTGTCTGAATAAGGACCCAACGTTTGTGAGTAGATATGTGTGCCTGTATATAGATGTTTGGGGTTTGTTTTTTACTCTCTCATGCTTGCAAAGCATCTTGCAACAGCAGCTACTGGTGTAGTGCATCATAACTGATCAAAATAATTCTAGAGACTATTCTTTCCACTTTTAGTAGTGGTGGTTTTTAAGAGCAATGTCTCCATTCTAGTCTTTTGTTTAAAATACTGAAAGAGGGAGGGGGAGTGCTTAAAGAAATAATGGTGGTGGAGGCAGCTTCCTAAAATGCACTCAAACCTGGGATAATGTCAGAACTGAAGCTTGAACAGAGGAGAGAATCTTACATCTTCTTTCTCCAGCACTAGTTTTGCTGTCTGAATTGTGCTTACAAGGAAATGTTGCACGGGAGAATTTTGATTAGTCATTTTCCTGGGTGTGTATCTTCTAGCTTAGAAGGATAAGCAGTATAGTATGTGAGCGACTTGATCGTATTTTTAGAGTGCTTGTAAATGTGGATTACTGGCTTTTCTTGACTTCCTGTTTCATTAATTTCCTGATACTATATGAGTGAGCTCTAGAAATCAGTTGTCTTACTAAATCTCCTTTCTCAAGCACTTAAAATCATGACATGGTAGCATAATATTAAATATTTAAGTGTTTCTTACAGCGTCCTACTGCAAAGGAACTTCTGAAGCACAAATTCATTATGAAAAATGCCAAGAAGACTTCGTATCTGACAGAACTGATTGATAGGTTTAAGAGATGGAAAGCAGAGGGACATAGTAGTGATGAAAGTGATTCCGATGGGTCTGATTCGTAAGTTTATTTTCAGTTTAGTCTCTTTGGATTTGCGTTTTGTTGGTTTGTTGGTTTTTTAAAAGCTAATGTTACTAAAGTAGGTTTGTCGCACTTTGTCTGTGTAAATAACTCCTCTTCTGTACATCTGACTTTGTTCCATACGTTTTTCATTGGCTTCTTCCAAGAAAACCCCTTGTATGAACCTGAAAACTATTGCATAAGTCAAGCTGTACGCTCATTATCTCTTTAAACTTTCTCTCTGAGCTCAATTTCAGTTCTGTTTAAGTACCATGTGTTTTCTAGTCTGAGGCTAGTGTTTATACCAGAAACAATGAATCACAGTTAGAACTATTGCAGAGCAAGGTTGAGGTGTATGGAGAAGTTTGTACAATGCCTGTGGAACAGCGTTCTGTAAGTCTCCTGCTTTTCTGGGTATCAGATAACTGTTTTAAATGGAATGCCATGGGAGAAGGTAAGCTTTATGGGTAGATAACATCTCCTGTTTGCTTTGATCGTATTTCAGTTTATTCAGCCTCTGAAGTTGTTTTTTGTAGTTCAGTTAATGTTTCAATATATGTTTTTCTTCTTGTTTTGAGGAATGTGGAACTAATCCATATAGACTTGTGTTTGGGTTACCTGTGTTTGCTTAGTGTTATGTTGTGGCTGATACTATGTGCATCGTATCCTTTTTCTTCAGGGAGTCCAGTAACAAAGAAAATAACTCTCATCCTGAGTGGAGTTTTACTACAGTTCGAAAGAAGCCAGATGCCAAGAAGCTGCAGAATGGGACGGTATGTACAGCCTGAGGAGTTTTTCTTTATAAGTGCTGGATTTGAAGCCAATTTAAGGAAGAAAGTGATAAAAGTTAGTAATTGTTCACTTTTCGTAAGAACTGATTATATTTTTGTAGTTGAAGAGATTATGCTTGTTAGTGATATTTTCTATGCCTATGTCGGCCTTAAGTGCAAAAGATACTTCATGCTAATAGATCAGTATCTGTTCACAGAGATGTGAATTTTAAAGACAAAATATTAGAGAGGAAAAACTGAACTGCTTTTCTGATGATACATGACCTTGTTTCAAATGTGTCATCAGGCATCTGTTTCCACCTCGTGTAACATTTGTTGATGTACTGTGTCTTTGTAACGTATTTCAAGGGCTTTGTTGAATTCAACTGAGCTTTCAGAATCACATGCACTAAGTGCAGCATATACAGTGTGTAGGAATACAGTAATGTGATCCCTATATGTTAACTTTTAGGATCAAGATCTTGTCAAAACCCTGAGTTGTTTAACTATGATAATCACCCCGGTGTTTGCTGAGGTAAGTCTTGACTTCAAGAACTTCTTCGAAAGTATTGCTGAAGTGTCTGATAATTTTCGTAAGTTCCCTCTGTTTTGGTTTGCTGCTCAGCTCAAACAGCAGGACACAAATAATGCTAGCAGAAAGAAAGCAATTGAGGAACTTGAGAAGAGCATCAATATGGCAGAGGCAACATGTCCAGGGATCACAGATAAGATGGTGAAGAAACTTATGGAGAAATTTCAGAAGTAAGTTCAGGAATGTTTTTGTATGCATTGGAGGGAAAAAAAAAAAAAGCAAAACTTTGTATGTTGGGGAAATTTGAATAGATTGGTGATAAGTCAAAGATCTGCTGTGTCCAGGACTTTAAACTTCTGGCTTCTGTAGTTACACCTAGCACTTCTGATTGAAACTGAACCTTAATAGTAACTATTACTGTATCTGTTTCGTCTTCTAATGCTGCAGTTTTACCAGAAGTTGTTATACATTGCTTCACTTTAATTTAGTCTACATTTTTGTCATAAGTGTATTTATAGCAAATAAGGGAGCAAGAGAATCTTTAACTTGGCTTTTTAGGGAATATTTTCTTGAGAATGTAACTTCTGGTGGTTTTGTTCCTATGATCTGCTGAGATGAAGGCATGTGCTAGTTCAGTGATGCAAAACTAGTTACGTGCTGTTTGCCAAGCTGAAACAATTATAATTAACAAAATTCTTGTTGAAGAATAATTAACAAAATTCTTGATTGCTTTTATTTATCCGTAGGTTTTCTGTTAATGACTCCTCCTAAGAAACTTCACATAATTGACTGCTGTTTCGTATGGACCCAGTGAAACCCACCAAAACTACTTCAAGCTTGGCAGTGCTTAGCTCATGAGCTCCTTGTGCCTTTTGGATCTTTGCAACATATTGATGGTGATTGAGGATTTGGAAGAACCTACTCAACTATTTTGTGGGCAGTGCACATGGTTTTATATTTTCAGGAAATTATTTTGTAAAGAACAACTTTTAATATTGTAGTTTCACCTGTTTAACCTGATAAATGTTGAGGTGCAGTTTTGCTTTTAGAAATAACCATTACTTTAGTTAATAGAAAGTGCAAGTACAGTATGTTTTGATGCTGTTTTGTTCCTGTACATGGGGATGTACAGGTCTTTTGTATTCCTCAGTTAAACTTTTGTAAATCACTAACAAGCTTCAGAGAAAATAGCTTTTTCACAAGCCTATTCAAAACATGTAATGTAGTGGCAAGGGTATTGCTGTAGCACCTGCTTCAACCAGCATATAGTTATCATGCCCTGAAAAATAAACCTGCAACAGTATCTATTATAATTCTAAATTGGTACAGTATTTTAGGCAGCTCTATGATTAAATATGTTTGAGAGCAATATGTCGATAGTTTGCAGGTGATATGTAGCAACAGGTATATCCTGATGTACAGTATGTGTATTACCTTTTAGAACAGGTTTTGAAGTAGTAATTCAATCTTACATCATCATGGTAGGAAAATTTAAAGCAATACAGTTGAGGGGGTGGGGCTTTTGGCAATAATGGACAAAACCTGAAGTCCGATTTAACTTAATTTTTTTCCTCTGAGTATACACGCCTGGGTGGAAGGGAGCCAGAGAAGCTGAGCGTCGCATGATACATACCTCATGAGCAGGTATAAGTGTAACACCAGCATTCTGTGTGGTGGTGTTGTTTCTCCTGTAAGATATTTATATGCGTTTTTGTTCTTAAATACATTAAATACAGTACATCAACATAATTTGTTTATAATTTTCTGAAAGTGTATTTTAAATATGTATTTACCAGTTAATATGCAAATAACTGAGTTATAGATATTCTTTCACAAAAATGTAGTACTGTGCAGTACGGAGTGATTTTTTTTTTTTCCCATAGAAAGTAGGTAAGACTATAAAGTTGCTTTCAGTTATCTATTTATGGTACTGCTAGGTGGGTAATATCTTCTCTTCTGGATTTCGGTTTGGTTTGGTTTTTTCCCTTTTTCAACCCAGTATGTATATTATGCTGAAGTTTTGAACTGGGATTGTTTTTCAGTACTTAGCTGTGGAACTGTTGGTGTAAATTTATTTTTGATAAAAGCTGGGTGTGTTTATTTTATGGTTCAGACCTGCACATTTTTGTTTTTGCACAAAAGTCATTTTAAAGAATCTGAAATATATCTGCCAAATATTGAAAAAGTAATGGTGTGCAAGTAAATACTGCATTTTTAGTCAAATGTTGCCATTACATCGTTTTTATATAAAGGACACTTGTGAGAGATGGTGGTTAGATATGCCAAGGACAATTATTTTCAATGGTGCCTACACTGTAAAAAATTACTTTTAACTCCTTGTTTTAATTTTAAAAAAAAAAATGTTTCTGTTTAAAACTTTCATCTGCTATATAACTGAAATTCGATTAGAATTTATATCTGAGAAAAAAGTCTGGAAATAGTTTTTGAAAACAATAATGTTATGGATTAAATAAATATTTTTATAAATGTAAAAGCAGCAAAAGTTGTAAATACAGTTGATCTGAAGCTTTACAAAATAACTGCATCACAGAAACAAATTGTAGTGCTCCTCTAGCTTATGTAGTTGTTAGTCTTGTAAATCTGTTTATAGATGAAGCTTATTTCAATGTTTTCGGGGGGGTTAAATGGTTTAAAAATAAATATTTAAGTTCTGTAAACTTTCACCAGCTTGTTCTGTTGTGCGTTTTATTCTGGATTTCAGTAGATGCTGAGAGGTGTGGATATACCTCTTACAGACTTGTGGTCTAGTTCAAGAGAAGTGCTCCTTGCACAGAGTTGCATGGTTGCTCTGAAAAGGTTTGGGTCCCCCCCGTGCTGTTCTTGTCCAGAGGACACCTACCAGCTGCGGTGCCACAGGGAGTGCCAGATGGAGCACCCCCAGGGTTCGGTTTGGTTCCGTTCCTGAGGAGGAGTCTTCAGGATCCATGTGCTCGGACGAACGTGCGTGGCCCATGGCAACGTGGTAGAGATGTCAGAAGACTGACTTCAGCGGGAACTCGGCACTGTGGGGTGAAGGTACAAAAAGCCCTGTGCCACAGTTACCTCGGCTTTCACTTCAGCAGTCTCCACCCAGATCTCATTTTAAGAGCTCCATCCAAATTTCTCAGAATTAAAAACGTGTTTTTACTTCCATGTCACTTCCCTTAAGGTGTTTCTTTTGATGTGAGAGACCGAGGGGAGAGGTGATGGGGGTTTCTCCTGAAGTCTGTAACTGTCTGTAACGAGTCTACCCTCTTGACACAGGGTCTGTAATCTATGCAACTCTATAGCATAGTGATTCTGGGTAGGTAGGGTTAGTGAATCATTTGGGAAGTTGGAACTTGTCCTGTTTGCGCTATGACTGTAACAAATTGCTGAACTACGGTGCCTCTTTCTTCCTGTGATATGGGTGGGATGTGTACCTACCTCATAGGACAGTGTGGGGAAATACTCATCCACATGCATATACTGCAGCCTCATTCTCCCCGAGTCCATTCAAGAAGTTTTCTTACTGTACTGCATATGGCATTTCTGCACCTAAAGTCTCTGTGTATCGTAAGCCTATGAAGAATGGATGTCCGTATTACTGGTTTCCAGAGAACACTTGTCTTTTTCCCCACCATGTGTTAGTTGTTGATGAACTGTGTAACCTAATCAGCAGTGTTCTGTTGCTGGCAGATAGCTAATGGAAAGATATAGCAAAATGTTCATGCAGGAACCATCTTCTTGCTTGTTTGGCTTGCTAGGCGTCCCACTGTAGATTGAGAAGAGCTGATACTGCAGTAGTCTTATCAAAGTAGTCTGAGTTGCAGAATAGAGAAATGTGTTTGTTCTCGGGTAGAGGAGTCCTTTATCAATGTAACCATGCTTAAAACCCACGGCCTCTGCCTCTTCTAGTGCACTTCTGTACAGGGGGTGTGTAGTAGTGTAGACACCTGTTCTTGCATTCAGTTAACGTCTGTAGCTGAATAGGAAAGTCCATAGGTTCTGAATGTATTTGCACAAAGTTTAGCAGTTGTTCAAGGTCTGATTTTTATCACGCTGTTTTATGAGTTAACACTGGAATAAAATTATTTTCCTCTTTGCAGAGTTTTAGTGGTATGTACGTTGGCTTGCCTTATTTCACGTTTTTCCAATAATGAGGTAACTCTTCATACAGACAAGAGGTAAATACCCTGAAGCCTTTCTTAGTGCTCATGCTAACAGGAGTCCTTCGTGTACTGTGTACATTTTGCTGCTTTTTTTATCCTAACATATACCCACCTATGCCTCGAACAAGTTGCAGCTGTGTTTCAAGATGAGCTTCATCTGCGATAGGTTTTTATATGAACCCCAGTTACTTCAGCCTGAATGCACTGAGTAGCTTCTTGTTTTGACCCTGTAGCACTGCTGTGCCTCCTCACTCTTGGTTTGTGTGAGGGCTGTAAAAGTTTACCCTTTCCAGGTGTCTGTCTTTCACTGTCAGCAGACAAAATCTTTCCATGTCTGCTCTCTGTCCTTGTTTTCTTCCCTAATGAAACATAGTCTTGTAACCAGGTGTTCTTGCCTCTTTTGGGTGAATAAGGCTGAGCAGGGACCGTTACTCTTGGGTTATTTCAACTGTTCCTTGACACGTGAACCCCTGCTTGCTGGGGTTGTTCCTTTATTTCAGTCAGTCCCAAGAAAGCCAGTTTACGCAAGGAATTTAGCTTGAAGATATTAATTTCTGTCACTTACGAGTTGTTGTATTCCTCTGCTATTGTTGACCGTCATGTAGGGTGTGCTAAGGCACAGAGCACATGCTGTGCCCCAGGCTCTTTAGTCAATGGAAAAATCCAAAAATAGTTCCCAAGTGCTTGTTTCTCCTTTGCTGTGGGTTTTTTTCCGAGCATGGTCCTCAATGCCAGAGCTGGCAGCTCCTGGAGATCCAGGCACGGAGGCTGTACATGGATCTCTCTCGGTGGGACCATGTGTCCATTCTGGGATGTGACCTGGGCCAGCCTTTACCTGTCTCCACATGCTGTCAGGAACTAACAGTGATTGTAGGTCTGCCTGTGTGGTTCAGCTGTGACCCTTTGAGGGACATTCTCTGGGCTGTCTGTGCTGTGTATAAAACACTGGGGTTTTTTCCACCCTCTACCAAATTGTGCATACAGCCTGCCACACTTCATGCTTAAATGCTGTTCTGAGTGGTGGTTCTTGTGCTTTCCAAGGTGCAGAGCTTTGGAAAAGGAACAAACAACTCTGTAACTAGAAAGTTTATCCTTTTTTTAAATAGACTGTGTGCCAGAGCAGCATTTGGGAACCCTGTAGATCACTGCTTTTTCAGCACAGGGTAACCAGGAGGAAAGGCAAACCTTACAGTGTGCTCTTGTTGATCGGATGTGTATCTCTGGGAAACCAACCAGGAACGTGGTGGTTTTTCAGCAGCATTCAGACATCTGGGTGAGTATACCCAGTCACTGAGACAGCAAAGGCACAGAGGGAGCCAGACCTTGGGAGCTGGGAGGTACAGGGGACGGTGGTTGGGGGTGCCTGCAGGGCTGGGGGTACAGGTTTGGCAGGGCAGAAGGAGGAACCCACAACTCCAGTGTGAACAACTGATTTTTATTGTGCAGGACAGCGACACGCAGGATGAGCAGTACCCATAAGCCCAGTTCTTGTTACATTTTAACCTGTTTTCTGTCTTTGCCCCAGCTTCCTTGTTTCTGAGGTGTGCTCTAGCAGGTCACAGTGGTTTCTCGGTTGTGGTTTTACTGGTCTGTTCCTCTCCTCACAGTCATGTCGTACAGAGTTGTTCTTAAAGAAAAATGATCCTCCCTTAAGATCTTACAGAGGTGTCACTATTCTCCAGTTTTTCTGAGTAGATTTCATATAGGTTTTGAGTAGTAACAGGTTTTTGTAACAGAAATACTTCTTAGAAGTATCTACACCTTGTCCCTTCTGGGGAGCAATGGATAAATCAGGAATCCCCCTCCTGCCACCCCATGGGTGGTGACAAGTCCCATCTCCTCCTCCTCCTTTATAGCCAGAAACAGGCCTGGTAAAAATAACATTGCACTCGTGTAGCAAACAGGAAAGTTTTGAAGCGTGGTGGTTACAGCAGACTTCCTGATGCCAAGGGTGAGCACCAGCTGCCTGTTTCTTTCCTGCCCCCTCCTGAAAGCTTTTCCCCATGTTGCTTGCCTGAGGCCTGATCTGGGGGAGCAAGGGGCCCTACTTGTATGCCTCATGCTCCCCCAGAGTTAAGCAGGGCATTGAGATGCTGGGGCTGTGGAGATGCTGTCAGCAAATGGACCTAAGAAAAGCAGAACTATAGAATATTACCCACCCACTGCCCAGGGCCTGCTGGGGGTTGCTGCTAAATGATGTGCAATTACTGCTAAGATGTTTCTTGGGGAAGGGTAACGTAAAATGGCTGGAGACAAGATAGTGCTGTTTGCTTCCTCCATGACTCTAAGCGTCGCAAGGACGACCCCACACATGCAACCCTGTCCTTGAGCACTGGGTGCTCGAATGGAGGAGACGGGCTCCATGCTGGGGCATGGCTGTGTCCACAGGGGGTCAGCTCCTGGAGCGGCGTCTCCTGACCACCCTGCTCCTCTCCAGAATGGCCTCAGACACCCTTCCTGTCAGTGTGCTTCCCTGCAGCTGTAAAAAGCAGATGTTTAAAATCTTCCATGGGTTGTTTCTTTTCTTTTTCTCTCTCCCTCCCCAGTGAAGATGCCAGTGGCTGAGCTCCAAGCATGACCAGCAGCCACCACCTTGGGCAGGACACAGGGTCTTTGCAGGGCTTTAGGAGAGCCCTGGTCTCTCTGGCTGGAGCAGGACCCCAACATGTGGTGGCAGAGACACACCAGCTTCTGAGCTGTGTCCATTTACACACCCGCTATAGCTAAGAGCACTCGCACAACACAAACCCATCACAATGTTTCGCCAACAGTAGGTGGCCCTTCTGTGGCCCCAGGTCAGCGCCGGCCACCTCTGCTCCCTCCGGCCAGCGTCAGGCACCTAGGTGAAATACCTGGAGGCCCCCCTGGAAGTCCTTTCTTCAGCGGCGCTGGAGGCAAAGGACACCTCCTCATCCTCTTCATCCAGCTGGAGCTCGCACAACACAAACCCATCACAATGTTTCGCCAACAGTAGGTGGCCCTTCTGTGGCCCCAGGTCAGCGCCGGCCACCTCTGCTCCCTCCGGCCAGCGTCAGGCACCTAGGTGAAATACCTGGAGGCCCCCCTGGAAGTCCTTTCTTCAGCGGCGCTGGAGGCAAAGGACACCTCCTCATCCTCTTCATCCAGCTGGAGGCTGCCGGACGACAGCCGCACCCGGGCCATGGGCGACCGGAGCACCCGGCCGTACAGGGAGCAGAAGTTGGCAGCCAAGAGGTCGGACACGGAGGG